ACGAAAGGTAAAGGAAAGGCAATTGCTAACTCCCCTGCCAAACCTTCCAAGACAGCTGCAAACTTGAAGGTTTCTGGACCAAACTTCAAGAAGAAAGGCAAAGGAAATGAAAACAATGAGAATGTGGAGAAATTCAAGGGAAAGTGCCACTGCTGTCACAAAAATGGTCACAAGACTGTTGAGTGTCGCAGCAAGATTAGAGATGAGAAGGTCCAGGTGAATCTCACGGAAGAAGATCTCGTTGCAGTGGTGACTGAAGTCAACATGGTTGAAAACAACAACCCCAAAGAATGGTGGTATTATACTTGTGCCACCACCCACATTTGCACTGATAGGGCGATGTTCAACACTTATCAGAAAAGCAAGACTCAGGAGAAGCTGTTCATGGGAAACAAAGCAGTTTCCAAGATTGAAGGCCGCATCAAGGTGATTCTGAAGATGACATCTGAACGTGAAGTCACTCTGCAGAATGTGAAGCATGTGCTTGACATGAGGAAGAACTTGGTTTTGGGAACCTTGCTCAGCAAGAATGGATTCGCCACATCTCTTGAGGCGGACAAACTCGTGATTAGGAAGAATGGGGTGTATTTGGGAAAGGGGTATGTTAAGGATGGACTGGTCAAAATGAATGTAATGACAGTCCTTCCAAAAGTTGTAGTTCCAAAAGTTTCAATGAATAAGAAAGAGCTAGTTGCTTATTTGGTTGAGTCTTTTAATATTTGGCATGAAAGATTAGGCCATGTAAACTACAAATCGATACAAAGATTAATGAATCTAAATCTAATCCCAAAATGTAAAACAAGTAAACAAAAATGTGAAGTATGCGTACAGACTAAGCTCACAAAAACACCCTCACCTAATGTTGAAAGAACTAACAAACCTCTAGATTTAATTCACACTGATTTATGTGATTTAAAATATATACAAACTAGAGGTGGTAAAAAGTACTTTGTGACCTTCATAGATGACTGCACAAAATATTGTTATGTATACTTATTACGTACCAAAAATGAAACCTTAGAAAAATTCAAAGAATTTAAACTCGAGATAGAAAATCAGCTTAAAACAACTATTAAAATAGTTAGAAGCAATAGAGGAGGCGAGTATGATGGGCCATTCAATGAATTCTGTAAAGAACATGGAATAATTCATCAAACTACAGCCCCTTACTCACCAGAATCTAATGGAGTTGCTGAACGCAAAAATCGAACTCTAAAAGAGATGATGAATGCAATGTTGCAGGAATCAGGGTTGCCCCAGAACTTGTGGGGGGGGGGGAAGCGCTGCTTACCACTAATTATATCCTCAACAAAATTCCACACAAAGTAACTGGCAAAACTCCATATGAATTATGGAAATGTAATTTACCATCGTATAAATACCTTAAAGTGTGGGGGTGCTTGGCAAAAGTTGCGGTACCACCACCAAAAAAGGTCACTATTGGACCTAAAACAGTGGATTGCGTCTTCATCGGATATGCACATAATAGTAGTGCTTATCGATTTCTGGTGCATAAATCTGAAATATCAGATATTCATGAAAACACAGTAATGGAATCAAGAAATGCATCTTTCTTCGAAAATATTTTCCCATGCAAGGAAAAACAAGGTCCAAAAGGAACTCGAGAAGAAAGAGACAACGACAATGTTTCAGAAACTGAGACAAACGTCGAGATTTCTACAAATGATATTTCAGAAAATGAAAAAGATGAACCTAGAAGAAGCAAAAGAGCTCGAAAGGAAAAATCTTTTGGAGAAGATTTCCTTATGGAATTTCTAGTAGAAAATGTTCCAAAAACTTTGGCAGAGGCCATGGCTTCACCAGAAGCTCCGTTTTGGAACGAAGCTGTCAGAAGTGAATTTAATTCTATCATGCAAAATTATACATGGTACATAACAGATTTACCACCTGGCTGCAAAGCATTAGGAAATAAATGGATAATGACACGAAACCTGGTGGAAAATACAAAGCTAGGCTTGTAGTTCAAGGATTCCGACAGAAGGAAGGTCAAGACTATTTTGATACATATTCTCTAGTAACGAGAATAACATCAATAAGACTGATGATAGCAATCACAGCCTTAAGAAACCTAGAAATCCATCAAATGGATGTAAAAACCGCTTTTCTAAATGGTGATTTAGAAGAGGAAATTTACATGAAACAACCTGAAGGGTTTGTCATTCCTGGACAGGAAGGCAAAGTATGCCAACTAGTAAAGTCACTTTATGGGCTTAAACAAGCTCCTAAACAATGGCACGAAAAATTTGACAGTACAATGATGTCATATGGTTTCAAAATTAATGAATGTGACAAATGCATATACTACAAAACTACCAAAAATGGGTATGTTTTGCTATGTCTATATGTATATGATATGCTCATTATTGGAAGCAATAAACACATAATCAATCAGATAAAGAACATGCTCAAAGGGAAATTTGAGATGAAAGGCTTGGGAGTAGCAGATGTAATTCTCGGAGTTAAAGTCACAAGAAATTCAAAAGGAATTACATTAACCCAAGCTCATTATGCTGAAACAATATTGGAGAGATTTAAAAATTACTCTAATATCACGGCGAAAACTCCGTTAGATCCCCAAATGCACTTGACGAAGAACTCAGGGGAAGCGGTTTCACAAAATGAGTATGCACGTGTGATTGGAAGTCTCCTTGACCAATTGCACAAGACCAGATCTAGCGCATGCAGTAAACTTACTGAGTCAATATACAAGTAATCCAGGTCATACACATTGGAAAGCTATAACGAGAGTACTCAATTACCTGCGCTACACCAAAGATTTTAGGCTTCACTATGGTAAAGAACCAGCAGTTTTAGAAGGATACAATGACGCAAACTGTATATTAGATTCTAAAAACTCAAAATCCACAAGTGGATATGTCTTTACACTAGGAGGAGCAGCAATATCATGGAAATCTACCAAACAAACAGTTCTAGCCAGATCCCCCATGGAATCTGAGTTCATAGCCTTAGACAAAGCTGCAGAAGAAGCTGAATGACTTAGAATTTTTTTGGAAGATATCCCTATGTGGGAGAAACCTGTGCCAGCTATACGCATACATTGTGATAGTCAATCTGCTATAGCTCGGGCTCAGAATAATATCTACAATGGTAAATCTGGTCACATCAGAAGACGACATAAAACCATTAGACAACTTATCTCAACTGGTGTAATCACAATAGACTACATCAAATCAGCGGAAAACCTATCGGATCCACTAAAGGTTTGCCACGAGATATTGTTGCTAAATCATCAAAAGAATAGGTTTAAAGCCTATTACAAATGGAGATGTTTGATTGCAACCCTACCTATCATGACTGGAGATCCCAAGACATAGGTTCAAAGGGAAAACAAAATCAAACATGATCTAACCAAAGCACTTGAGACAAAGTAGTCTCTTCCCAGCTCTTAAGATGATAAAAGTGCTACGAAACGTAAGGATAAGCATTAGATTTTAATCATTCCATAGCTTTTAAAGTGAAGTATTACTCAATACTTTTCATGGTCAATCACCTAGTGAGTGTGAAATGAGGCTGTTTCTAGGAGAATGAATGCAAGGCTATATTCTCTAAGTTCACTCATGAAAACCAGGAATAGTTCAGGGCCACAATGAACACAATAGAGAACTAAGTTCTACGAGAAAATGAAGCTGCGTTATGCATGTTGTATCGGTCTACATAAAACATCGGTTGGTTCAAGACATCATGGTCACTTTCTGGTAAAGTAAACCCGACAGATATTAACTATGAGTGGTTCAAGGCTTAAAAATGCCACCAACTCAAACACATTGAAATTTTCGCAAACACTCTCGATAAATCTATCTAGTCTAGTCAGGATTAGAATAAGTATTTTTTTGTTTTTTTGTATCGAGTCTGCATATAGCCTGCATATTTTTAGAGTCATTTCTATTAAGGTGAGGGATTGTTGGAAACAGTTTTTGACACTGTGATCTTTTCGACTTTTCTGGTGGCTTTTCCAGCAAAACCAGTGGTCGCCTTGATCAGTTTGTTATATCATTGGAAAGCTTGTAAAAAGTACTACAATTTGATATATTGAAACGTCAAAAACAGATTTAAATTGAATGAGAAATGATGCTAGGAAGTTGGCATCTTTGTGCAAATATAACACAGAAGTTGTCTAAGTGAATAAATCACTTTTGTCCCACATCGGAAAAATAAAACATCAGAGAGAAATATATATATGCTCTTGTGTTATCAATGTTTAAACGGCTTGGAGAGAGAGATTGCTCCCCACGCGCGGGCTGGGCCTGGTCCTGGTCCTGGTCCTGGGCTTGGGCTTGGGCTTTATTGGAGGGCCTATGGCCCGATAAGAAGTTATCTGTTTGGACCAAATTAAGCTCAACGCTTTGCCATTTAAATTTCAAAAAACAACACGACGTTCGTGTATAAACGACATGTAGTTTGTATATAAAAGAAAAACAACATGGAGTTTATCAGTTCGAAATAAATCAGAAAGAGTCAACAAAGGAGAGATCTTGCGGAGAAAGTTTCTCAACTCCACTCCTGAGATTTTCGCTAATATGGTGCAACAGTTACGAAAATCAAATCTCTTTCTCCTCTTTATAAACTCGTCTTCTCCTCTCTCATTCCTAATCGTTTTTTACAGAAAAAATCCAGCAATCTCTCAGCGTAAGTTTTAAAGGGAGTGTTCATAGAATTTTAGTTCGTTAGGTCGTTTCACCAGTGAAGCGTGATTCGTCTGCGATGGTTGTATCCTGGGACTCGATATTCGTACAGTTTCGTCTCACTACGGAGCGAATATTAAGAGTTAAGGAAAGAGATTTATCTCGCCTCCATATCTTATATAATCGTTTATTTCCTTAAGTCCGTCTTTCTTATATCGTTTATGTCGATCCGGTTTTCCGGCTTCTAAAACCTCCTCCACTGCCGAACGTCTTGGACCTGAACAAGTACAAGGATCAGAGAGGTTCAGTCCTTCGCTGCCTCCTTCACCGTTCACGATGTGTCATTCCACCTCCAGGATCAGCAGCCGCGGAGGAGATGGAGAGAATCTACCGCCGAGAAAGTCTCATAGGCGTTCCAGTAGCGATGTTACATTCGGGTTTAGTTCTGTAATGACTCAGAGTCCTTTGATCCCGATGAGGTCTCTGGAGAGATCTGTCTCTGGGGGAGGAGGAGGAGAGGCTTTGAATTGGGTCAAGGAAGAGCCTGGAAGAAGACAATCTGAGAGTGCAGCTGTGGACATATTTTCAAGGCGTATATGAATCTTGATACATTGATGTTTTGAACTCTTCTTTTGGAGGAGGTAATGAGGCTGTGATGGAGAGTAGTGGGACTAGGAAGACCAATGGTGGTGGAACCAGTAGTGACTCGGAGGGAGAGAGCAGTGACAATGTGAAGGTGGTTTCTTAAGGGTGTATATACAATTTAGTCTAGAGAGATGAGTTGTCCCTGCTTCTTGTTTTCTAATATAGTCTTATGGATTTGGTTCAAGAGAATGGACTTGAAGAAGATCAACAACATCAAGGTTTTCTAGATTCATAAAAAGCTTTCTCTTCCTGCAAAATTTTCTAATTGATTATATGCTAACTTACTTGTATGATTGTAGTTCTGTTAATCAGTTTCCTTGGTTTACGAGTATCTAGGGTTTTGTTGAATTTGTTTAGTTGCTAGAAAATTAGAAGACGTGATAATCACGAGGATTAATTGATGGTGTGTGAAGGCTTTTTCTGTTTGCGTTAGGGTTTAGTAACTAACTAACTATCTCTTTGTGTGAAGTGTGTTATGAATGTATGTACTGCCTCTTTGCTTTGAAAGTTTCTTCCAAGTAACGGTTGTCTCATCTTTTGGGGGTGTATATTTACAATTTAGTCCAGAGATATCACTGCTTCTAGTTGTCTAGTTTTAGTCTTATGGATATCGTTAAAGAGAGTGGACTTAACATTTGGTCTCTTTTTTCTACTAGATGAGTTGCAGGATGATTTACTGGAGAATGATCCCAGCACTGTAACACCAAGTTCAAATGTAAGCGTCTTTCAACCCCTCTGTCTTTTCTTAGTCTCTGATTGGGACAAAACACCGCCTTGGCTTAAGCTGATTTTGTGATTTGCAATAGACACTTCATTTTCCTCTTTATATTATTTGAGAAACTTTGCAGAAACAGAAGTCAGCATCAGTTGAAGAGGGAGGTAGTAGTAGGATAGCAAACATCAAAGAAGGCAATTTCAATACTAGAGCTGGTGGTGACATTGTTCCCACTGGTATTAGACACTACAGGAGTGTTTCCATGGATAGTGGTTTCATGGGGAAATTGGACTTTGGTGGTGATGATTCATCATCGCTTAAGCTTCAGGTAAAAGCTTCCCCAACTAATTCTGGTGAAGGGAACTCGAGTGTTGAATTTGGAAACAGTGAGTTTACTGCGGCTGAGATGAAGAAGATCTCAGCAGATGAGAACCTTGCTGAGATTGTAATGACTGACCCTAAACGTGTTAAATGGTAAGTATAATATACATAGTGGTGACATTTCAGTCTTGTTGTTGTTGTTATTGAGTGTTTGTTTTAAAAAATTTTGTAAAGGATATTGGCAAACCGTGTCTCTGCTGCACGTTCAAAGGAGCGGAAGACGCAATACATGGCGGAGTTAGAACACAAGGTGCAGACCCTTCAGACTGAGGCGACTACATTATCTGCTCAGCTCACGCATTTGCAGGTGAGAATACACACACAACCCACAAACTGTCCTATTTTTGAATAGGTCGCTAATCTTATTATATTACTTTCTTTGGACGGTTCAGAGAGATTCAATGGGGTTGACGAACCAAAACAATGAGCTCAAGTTCTGTCTTCAAGCTTTGGAGCAGCAGGCACAACTCCGCGATGATACATACGCTATATTATATTATATTATGTTAAGGGTTGCTCTACCGTTGTTTTATATTCTACCAAGTCCTCAGCCTTGAGTAGAAACATTGTTTATTTTTTCTCTCTATGTATGACAAAACTTAACATACTTAGTCCTTAAGTTAAGATTTTGGCAAAAATTGTCCATCCTTAAGATCCGAAAGTAGGCTCTCTATGAAAAGCTTTCAATCTTCTTCCCCCTGGGAATATCCTGATCATAAACTTTTAATAGTTGGGTTACCGATGAAAGTAGAAAAGTTTATCTCCGTTTTCTTTTAAAGAACAAAACTTTTTGTTGAGTTTTAGTCATTTTTACTTGTTGTTATCTCATGTTTTAGGTGTACTAGAGGATAGAGGAAGAATTGCTTAGGTTGTTAGTCAAGTATGCATGTATGAATAACTCACTCTTGGTTGTTAGTGAAGCTTTTTAAGCTAGTTCTTAAACTCTTCTTTTGTTCTGAACTTTTTATTCAACTTGATGTCTTTCTCTTAGGCCACAGTTACTTAAGATCTCTTCTCGCATCTTTGCTTTTCTCATCACTAGTAGTGACTCTTTTACCACTTGGATTCTCTTTTTGAAAGTCGGTGAGCTGCTTCTGCTGCTGCTATGGCAACTCATCAGCAGCAGACTCAACCTCCTCCCGATTTTCCTCCTTCTCCGGCCCATGAAAGTTCCTCGATTTCAGGTTCAATCACAACCTCCACTATTTTTTTTTGGGTAGATTCTTTTTTTCTCGAACAGATTCTCAATAGTTGTCTGTGATTTCTTATTATGATGGATTGCCTACTGGTTTCTCTATTCAACTATCGCTGATTAATATTCAATTCCACCAAATTTACTATAACTATTCTGGTTAAACCAACTACGAAAGTTAATTCAACCTAGTAGAAAAGCTTGAGCCTTTTGATCTGTTTAGTAACCTTCTTGTTGTTGACACGTGTTTTGTTTGCAGAGGCTACGAATGAAGTAGAACAAGTTAGTAAGCAGGATTATTTCAAGAACTCTGAACCGATACGGGAGGATCAGATTCAGAACGCTATAAAATTTCTTTCCCACCCCAAAGTTAGAGGATCCCCTGTTATACACAGAAAGGTCTAATCAAAAGATTGATTATTGTAGACCAAATTCCATCGTCACCAGCTTTATACGGATGTAGCTCAAGGCATTATCCACTAGTTTCCTGATACAGCAGAGGACGAAGCCAAGGAGGAGCATTTGTAGCAATGTAGGATTGAACTCTAAGGTCTTGAGTCACATTGTTTGCTATTGCTAAATCCGCTTGGTTACGAGAGGGCGAGAGGGTAGAGTATGTTCCAGCGACCATTGACTGATTCGAGCTAGGTGTCCTTGTAACTCACCTATCCAAACCGGGAGATTGGTAGCTAAGCTTGGATTTAAGGATTTATAAGTGATTTATAAACCATTATAAAATCATCTATAAGGATTTATAAAGTCATTTATAAGGGTTTATAAAATTTCATAAAAAAAAACTGTTTATAAATTAACTCATGAAGGTTTATAAAATTAATTTATAAGGATTTATATATTAAACAATAAGGGTTTATAAATTAACTTATAAGGGATTATAAACTGATTTATCAGAGTTTATAAAATGGGTTTTGATTATAAGGGTTTATAAGTTAAAAATATTTACTTTTATAAAATTACGAAAAATCATTTCTAAAGGTTTACAAATATTTAGACGGTTAAATCACTTAAACATATTTATAAATCATATATAAGAGTTAATAAAACATCTATAAGGTTTAATAAATAATTCATAATGTTTTAAAAATAATTTTATAAACTTTTATAAAATCATTTTGAAGGTTTATAAACTATTTAAGCATTAAAAATTATTTATGATATCTTTAAATCATTTATAAGAGTTTATGAATAATCTATAATGTTTAATAAAATCATAGAAAACAAAATAGACAAGATTTTTTGTTGACAAACGAATTATAGATTATAGATTTATTAATCTATAATGTTAACAATATATAAATTTTATAAACTATTTATAAGAGTTTATAAAATATTTATAAAGAATATCTATTTTTTATGAAGGATATATAAACAATTTGTTTGTTCATGACTTTATAAAGAATATTTTTTGTCTGTATTTTAATCAATTGATATAGACTCTTAAATTCTGGATACAATGTTATTTCCCTTCTTCTCACTTTTATATAAATTTCCCTTCATGTAGCTCATTTAGTCACATGAGTATTGACACAAAATCTAGGTCATTCAATGTCAACCTAACCAAACTTGATTTATATTACAAGAAACATAATTTAGTAAAAATGAGTAGTTTCGTTTATTTAGCCGCAGAGTAACATGCCATTTCATGAAATGAATAAGACTTTGAGTTGAAAGGACTGATTTATGAAATCTTATAAACTAATTTATAAAAAAATATATTTTATTTTACAAGAGTGTATAAATTAATTCATAAGATTGATAAATTGATTTATAATACTTTATAAAACATCTACCGGAGTCCATAAGTTAATTATAAATATTCCAAAAATCTGAACGCAAGCCAGTCACATATTATTCCTACGCATCATCCCTCACTTCCAGAAACAAGTTTCAAAAATAATATGCTTCTGTAGTTCAACAAACTCATGCTACATATCCACTGTTTGTCTAGATATTCTACACAAAACACATACAAGACATGAATCTCATAAAGTAGCAAAACATAACATTACACTACCAAAACACTAACCTTCCACCTCATAGACTGTGCATACTAAGCCTTGTCAGTCACTACAACCAAAATGCTCATCACATATGCCAAGAAATACACCATTTAGTCTGATCCATATTTCGATCTATTTATGTATTCTTCGATGGATCAATTGTGTTTGCAAGAAGGAAGTATCTATAATGATTAATAAAGCTATTCATGTTTGTTTATAAATGTTTATAAAATAAATCATATGAATCTATACAATAGTTTTGTATATAAACCATTTATAATAGTTTATAAAACATTTTATGAACCATTAATATTTATAAAGCATTTGCAAGGATTTGTAAAAGACTTTGTCTAAATTCTAAACTATTTTTAAGAGTTTATAATTTATAAGAATATATAGAATTTTTTTATTATAATCTATAAATCATTTATAAGAATATATAATATTATATATAAGGGTTTATAAAATCATTTAGGGTTTATAAAATCATTTATAAGGACTTGTAAATCCTAAAGGTAGTTCAATTATAAAGTTAAAACATTTTATAAAGGCGTTTAAATCATTTATTAGGGTTTATAAAACATCTATAATAATAAAAAATAAATTTATAAAGATTTATAAAAACTTCTAACCCTTAAATTAGTTTATAAGCCTTTATAAATTAGTTTATAAACTCTTCTAAATTAACTTATAAACCTTTATGGATCATTTTATAAGCTTTTTATACATTAACTTAGTAACCTTATTAAATTAGTTTATAAACCTTTACAAATCAGTTTACTTATATAATGATTTGATAAACCCTTATAAGTTAGTTATAAGTTCTTATAAATTAGTTTGTACACCTTTCTAAATTAGTTTTTAATCATTGTATAAGTCATTTATAATCATAGTTTAATAATTAGTTTGTAAACCTTTTTAACGTCATAGAATGATATGTCTAATTAGCTATAACTTGGCTATGAAGTTTTCTGTCGCACCCTAGCAACGCTTTTAGCGAGAGGCATAGTGTAGCTAAGTGGCTACAGAACTTGGCAACAATTTATCCTAAGCAAAGTTATAGCAAATGGAGCTACGAATTTATCCTAAGCAAAGTTATAGCAAATGGAGCTACAAAAATTTTGTATCTAAAAACTGGATTCAGATTAGCTATGGCCAAATTTGTGGCTTGATAATTAAAAGAGAAAATTACTAGAATGATACACAAAAGTTTGTATATGACTAGAATAATATACAATTTCTAAAAATTACTAGAATATTTTTAGACTCTAGTAAATTACAATAAACACCTTTGCTTAATTTTGTTACTATTGATACAAATTTTAATTATTAAATCCACATCATAATTTTGAAATCCACGTCACTAACTAATTTGTGTCATCAACAGTTACACTCGAAAATCAACAGTCCCATATCTCCGGTGAACAAAAAAAAAGTCTTAATGTCACATTCTTCTCCGTCACAACTTTCGTTAAACCCTAACCGATTACGAATTCACGAAATCACGAAATCATCTTCGTCACAACTAATACTCTCGTTTCAATCAGTGTTTCCGATATCGTAAATCATCTTCGTCGACCTCGTTAAACCCTAACCGTCTCCGATATCATCTTCGTCGACATCCTCTTCTCCGCAAAAGTTTCGACGTAATCGTATCTACGACATCATCTTCTCTGGTATGTTGTGCCTGAGTTTGATTTACGACGTGTCTGAGTTATAGATTATGTTGTTACTGAGTTATTGTATAGTGTGGCTGAGTTGAGTTTGATTTATGAAGTGGCTGATTTATTGATTATGATCCGACTGAGTTATTGATTATGTTTTGGCTTAGTTATTGATTACTGTGGCTGAGTTATATATTATGTTGTGGCTGAGTTATTTATTATTTATGATTTGGCTGAGTTATTGATTATGTTTTGGCTGAGTTATTGATATGGTGGCTGGGTTATTTATTATGTTGTTGCTGAGTTTTGTTTCTATTGCGGCTGATTTATCTATATATGTGTTTTAGGATCAGATGGCTATTTCNTGGCTGGGTTATTTATTATGTTGTTGCTGAGTTTTGTTTCTATTGCGGCTGATTTATCTATATATGTGTTTTAGGATCAGATGGCTATTTCTGAAGATCAAGCACGGGATTATCCTCCACGACTTTACGCTGAAGGGGCTTCTAATCTAGAAAATAAAGAGATTAATCACAATTTGCAGATGGGAGATTTCCCTAACGTTAGAGAAGCAATAGGACGGTATGTGTGGGATCACATGAGGCAGGGTCCTCTTGGAATTATTGTGAAGCTAGCTGAACGCAAAAGCGTGTGGTTTGGTAGGACTGTCCACTATCTACTAT